GTATATCTGAAGTACATCTGTGTTCAGTTCAGTGCAGTTCAGCTCAAGAATTTTTCTCTGAACTCTTTCACTCTATAGAGCACTTCTGCAACTTSTAACTAAATAGACATTGTTCCTGAGTAGGAATTAAATCATGTATGAGGAACACCGTTTATGGAAAACAGTGATTTGCTTTACTTTGGGCTTGGAAGCTGCCACTGTGCAGCCAGAAAGCAATTTGCAGTGGTTCACAGAGAAGAAGAAACAATAGTGGACTTAAAAAGATCCRTCTGGGCTGTACACAACCAACAATCTATCTGATAAAACAGAAGATGCTCAGGATTTTCAAATGACATGAAGCTGTGAGGAGACACAATCATATCAGAAAACAGGATTAAGATTCAAAAGCATCTTCACAAGTTAGAGAAATGGTGTCTCAAAGGTTTAAGAGCAATGTTGTAGTGTTAAACAGAAACTATTGAACAAGCAGGAAAAAGAAGAATTGGCAAGATGAAATGACCTATGGCTTATAGAACATCACAGATAGATCTTAAATAAACAACATTCTGCTTCTGAGGAAACAGCAAATATAGAGACAGGTAGGGACAGAAGTGTCACCTGGGAGTAAATTCAATGTTAATAAGGCTTCTGTTAAAAGGAATGCTGCATCCTCCAATTCTTCTTTCAAAACTGGACTCTAGAGATGTGAATAGTAATGAGCACATCAATGTACTGTAAGTCACAGAAAGAACTGAGTTTGTTTAACCTAGAAAGGGCTGATGGAGTCCTTTTATTAATCTTCAATGTTTCAAAGGCTGCTGCAGAACAGGAAAAATAACTTGGTGTCTGTTAGCTTGCAGGCAGAGAGCAGTGGGTATAAGATCTAGTAAGCCTTTTTGGGAGAGAGAACTTCCACTGTCATTAGGTCCTAGCCAGAGGCTGCCTTGGAAGGCTATGGAACTTCTGGCAATGGAGGATTTTACGAAAAAAATCTCAGCTTGATAATCAGGAAGTGCATGTGATTCATCCTGCTTTTGGGGTAAAGGTGGCATCTTTCACACCATGTTAAATATTAATTTACAATTGAAAGAACTTCAGATTTTTCATACAAATTAGTAGATTTTAATAAGACAATCAACACCTTCACTAAACGGTGCAGAAACTCACTCATATGATCGCTAACTGGAATCAGAAATTCTTGTAATACAAACTAATATTTCTGTTTTACTTTAATTAACACAGTCAAGYATTTCATTGCATTGGCTAATGAAAAACATTAAATTACCCCATTTTTCTTGTTTCAAGTCTTTAATTCAGTGCCTGACAAAGGGAATTGTGTTAAGTATATTATGTTGCAGATTTTTTTTCGTTTTCCTTTGAAATGGTCCTGTTAACATAGATAGCATTGTTCTAATKGGTTACTTTCTTCCTGAAGGGTGGAGAAATGAGAAAATTACTTTTTTATTAGTCATAAGGGGCAGATTTACTGCATCATGTAAGTCAGCACAGGTAAAAATTACATATCAACATCAGGGTAGATTTTGTAAATGATGCAAGTAGGTTATGTAGCATTACAAGAACATTGCATAACACAGATCTCAACAGAGAAACACTAGTTTTTGATGCCAAGAAGTTACAAACACTAGACATATAAAAGAGGAAATATTTTAGGAACAGTTGACACGAAAATATGGAAAATTAGCAAATACCACCAAAAGTATCAGTAGAAGTTTTTTTTTTTTTTAACTATGTTGTAAAAGTGTGACTTTAACAACTAAATTCAGTGGCAAGTTTCACTGGATTACTTACTGCACAAAGGACATAACAATGATCCAAAGCTGCCAATACAAAAATCAGAGCTACCAATCCAAAAATCTTAGCATAATTATAATACCAGATTATGCATGGTATCAACTACCTTGGATCTGTGTTTGRTGGGAAGTTTCCCTGCCTTGAAGAGTGGCCTTGAGAGGTGTCCCTGCTCAAGGGGAGATCCCATTTAATCAGCTGCTTAGCAGAGAGAGATCAAAGAACGCTGATTTAGGCTGTCATATTTCTGGAATAAATTGGTTGGCTTGTAATCAAACTAGATACAATCGGTAGGGTATGCATGAGATTCCTTGCACCCACAACTTTCTTTGTTTCATGATAAATGAGTCCTAGAAAAACTACCTGTTATTCATGAGTTATTTACACAATCAGTGACCCAAACTCATATGCATCAATGYTCACCTCTGTCACTCTATTCCTTTGTGTATTTTTACAGAACAGATTGGAACTAGAGAAGTTCTTGACCTGGTTATGCCCTAGGTTTTTACCTTCTTTGGAGTTTGTAATAGCTAGCCTTAGTTTGTTTAAGAAGTTGAGGGCATTTGTCAGTTTGTTTAGGTTATTTTAGCCAGGCACAGAAGAATACACATAATTGAAAATAATGCAGTTAGTTACTGGCTAAGAGACAGAAGAGCTAGCTAGAGTTTAATGAGCTGCTAGACAAAGCATTAGTATACTTGTCATTTACATTAAGTTACTCAAGAAGTCTTCGCTGACTGTGTAGGCATGAGTCAAAAGGGTAAWGGTCACTTCCCATGACTCTCTGGAGAGGAATTCCAGCATTTCCAACTTGCAATCCCCCATCAATGCTGTTAACATGATGCAAGGGCTCACAGCTAGTCCCCAACTAGACTGCCTAGCTTGACCAGGCTTCCCAAGGTGATCTTTATCTTTCTGATTTTATATATGTTGGTATTTTCCCTCTGACATCTTTAAACAGTGACAAGCTCATGCCCACAGTCCTACTTTCAAAATTCTCTACAGACAGAAGACTTTCATAGAGTCTGGATCAAGGTTATGCAGGTGTATCTTGTGGCTTTGGATAAATGTACATAGGCAATTAAACACCCAGAAAGGTGGGGTGAAGCACAGAGCTGTTACAGACACAGAGGGTGCAAGGTTGGATGGGATGTTTTCTAGGCCTTTCCAAACTGCATTCCTATAAGTTGGTAAATAGAGAACTTTGATATCTGACTTGGGATTTTAAATTCTGTAGATTCTGTGACACTTGACACATTAAGCTTCCAGGTTGTTTTGTGGATTTATCTTTGTTCTCYTTCTGTTTCTGTTTTTCCTGCTCAAATATCAGGATAACTTCCATTTTGAAACACTTTCTGACCAGGCATAAAATTTCTTATGAACATTATTCAATAACTTCTTAGGTTTTTTGAGTGTAATTAGTACCTTGAATATGATTTCTAAATAGCAGGGAATTCATAAGTTCATAGGTAAGTATTCAAAGGATAAACTAACACATTGTTCATTCTGGAATTTATGGATCTTGTGGATCAGTAAAAGAAGCATCAGAAACTGTTGATGCTGTCCAAAGATGCAGTAGAGAACCACATCATGGTTGAAACGATTCAGAAAATGTTAAATATATTGATGAATTTTAAAAAGGATCTCCACTAGAGGCCCTAAAAGAATGTTTCAAACACAGAGGAGTGCTCAAAGCACAAAAATGAATCAATATATTATGTTTAAAACATGTATGTGCAAAGATTTTCTATCCCCCATTTTATTTATTGCACATAATTMAAAACCTACTTTCAAATACGTAATTGATAAATTTTCAGAAAGCATTACTAATTACACTTTGTAGACACATTAGAGGAAAGAATTTATTAGCATATTACAGACACTTTTAAACAAACATAAGAAAAAGAAAGCCAAAATTTTGGCATCCAAGCCTAGACATCTGTGGTTTGCATTTTCAGTAAAACGAAGCAGTTAGATGACCTTTCATGTGCATACTGCTCTGAATTCTGAGACAACAGTAAATGTCCAGCTGTGGTGCCTCCAGACCACATGCAGGCAATAAAAAATGAGTGACCCTCTGTGAAAAGTTCAGTTTATATGACTCATGAAACATGCAGAGGAACTGTTTGGAAGAAATAGGACAATTATTAAGAATAAGGTTCTGTTGTATGAAACTATCCTTTGACTAGAAWTCATTTGCTTGACTAGAAAGCACAAGCATCGTAAGAAAATGGAATGCCTGACTAAGGGACAGGATGTTACTTGGCAGAGGAAGTATGAGACATCCTTGAAATACAAAATGTCAGGGAACAACTGCCTAGACAGCAGTTCAGAAGAGGAGGATCAAGGTGCTGAAGTGGATCACAAGGCAAAGTGTATGTTGGCAATATTATGCTATTACAAAAAAATGACAAACTATATATCGTGAGGTATAAAACAATATAGCCTATAAGGCTGAAAACTTCACGGATCACATCCTCCTGATGAAAGGCTTCAGGAATTTGAGACAAGCCAGARGGAAGCAAGGAAAAGAGCATCTTATTAGGTGCATAATGTTCTGCCCAGAAACCTAGTTTAGGAAAAGGAAGGTTAGAGACAGAAGAACTCTTCTACGCMGAAGTGCTACAAACTAGAAAAGCCTTCACCACGAATGCCCTRGAATGAATGGGCAACAACTTTAAACAAAACTTTCTCATGGCTACATTAGATGTAGCCAGGCAGCTCTGGGCATATTGTACCTCTCTGAATAAGGCCGATGAGATGGACGCCCACAACAAACACAGGGTCCGCTCCTGGTCTCCCTTCATGCCTTATGCAATTTTTGGGAGTGAAGAATTTGTGAGCCACAGCCTTACTGGACGCGGTTTCTGTGGGGATTTCCTCAGCCRGCTGCCTGTGGGAATGTGGTACCGGGTCAGTCTGGTCACGGCCCGGGCCCCGCGCCCCGCCGCAGCCACCGGGCCCCTCCTCACCCTCTGCCTTGGCCGCCACAGCGACCKTCCCTGCGTCCTGGAGCCACCACAGGACACACAGGGACCCTGAGGCCACGGCATGAGGGCTGAAAGTGCCTCGGCAACATCACTGCTACCTGCATTTTCTGCCCACTGGGGGCTGGGCACATCGGAATGGATCCACTCTCTCTGCCYCTCACGGTCCTCTCGGGCTATCCCGCCCGTCCCCCTGCTCCTGCTGGGCACACCCAGGACCCCGCAGCCCTGAGAAACCTCGAGGAGGAGGCGGATCCCAGCCCCGGTCCGTCTTTGGGAGGGCAGCCAAAGGAACGGGCCGTGCTTCCCGGAGMGGGGGAAAAATTTACGAGAAGCTGCTCACCCGGCTCCTCGAGGTGGGAGGAGGCACCGCCCTGCCCGGGGAGGGGCGGCCCAGCCGCTTCCCGGCACTGACCGGRGGGGCCGGCGCGTCCCGGCGTGTGGGGAGCCCGCTGACCCCGGCCCGGAGGGAGCTCCCGGAGSCTGCAGGTGAGTGATGCCGGTGTCTCCCTGTCACGACAGCCCCCCGTTCCCTCAGTGACTCCCCCTTCTCCTCTCCGTCTCGTCCCGTCCCACTCGCTGAGGGGAGCTCTGCCTGCCCCGCTGAGGAGCACCCACCCACCTCTCGACCCTGGCGCTTGTTTTGAAGCGCGCTGTGGAGTTTTTACTTTGAATTTTAGCACTTCTGATGCCCTGTCCACCCTTTGCCTGCCTGTTATCCCGTGTTTTCCAGGCGCTYCTCAGCACGGCGGTGAGGGAGGGCTGGAGCACCGTTGTACTCGTACCGCGCTTCCAGAAGCCCTCTAGCATCATCGCATACCCACGAATTTAAGTCGTTTAATGACCATCTAGTCTTCTTTGCTTTCAGGATGCCGCTGCTTAGCTACGGTATAAAAACTGCTAATCAAMCTTGAGCAAAAATTGCCTGGGTGGGATACCTCGTGGGATGAGGATGCTGCACTTGCCAGGTGATTGGGGCTTGGTTTCAACATTTGCTGTGCCCGCTGCTTCAGGAAGGTGTTGACTTGCTCAGAAATGTGAGCCCAGACCTTTAAATCTGGCATCATATAGAGAAAAAGTATTGCTCCTGCTTTATTTTAAGTGGCCGAAATCCATTGCTTAATCTCTAAACTGCTGGAGGAAATAAGAAATTATCATCAATTCTAGTGTGGTTCCTGAATTTTTTGGAGTTTGACTGTTATGTTGGCATAACATTTTTGCTTCTCSTTTTATCTAAAGTTTTCACACCTGCACCAGTCCCAACTCCAGCAGGGCAAACCAGATAGGTACTAACAGTGTTTCAAGTAGATCATGCCTGAAAAATKGCTTCTCTGCAACTGATATTTGTTTTCTGATGGGGCAGTAGTAGTTTTACAAATTTTGTTAATTGCTTTATGTTTTTAGATCCCATTTCCCTGCTATTTTAACTGCTTTCTTRTTTTCTCATCTTTGTGGGACCATGAAGTACATGTTTTCTATTTTGGCAAAGCTTTTGAGAAAAGCAGTAACATGCATCAAAGAGCTTTCTSTTTATGAAAACACAGGAGATAAAGCTGCACCTCAATGGTCAAATTATTATGTGTGTATCAGACCTTAATTATAGAAATGACTTTGTTTSTTATGCAGCTTTTTAAACTTATTGCTACCCATTAGATTACAAAGGTTTATTAGGAGCTTTCAGTACACAGATRTATTTTATGTGCTAAGTGTAATTGAAACCATCTTTAAAATTGCTTGGGACAAGGAAGCAAGTACAAGGACTAAAGAAAAGATACATCCACTTTAGAATGTGGCATCTCAAATACTCTTTAATATTCAGTATTGTTGAAAATTAAATTTTCAATTTTCTATAAAAACTGATTTTGATTATTTTTAGTAGGGATCTATTTATCTGGGATGTTTTTGTAGATATGACTTTACGACTTTTCTTRCTGCTTACACTCAGTGAGTTCCTGATGGCTGTTGCAAGCCCTCTCTGTTTCAAGAAAAGCTGCCTCAGTTGGATATCTGCTCTGCAGTGTTGGTTTTGCAAGGGACATACTGGGAATTTCAGGAATCAGGAGAGTGGAAGCACACTGTTGTAGAGTCTATACAAATCACTGACTTGGGGCCTTCAAGCTCCGGTTGACAATTACTTAGTTATGCCTTAGTTTAGGAGACAAAAAAACACATCAGGGGGATGAGTTAGTCTACCTGTGCTCTGCCTACTTTCTAGGGGTGYCCCTTTGGAGGCTGTGGGAAGAGTTTATTAGATTTTGGCACTAAAACATCACTGATGTTATCAGTCTTCTATTGTGTGGTACAAACTTGGATTGTGATTCCTGTCCTCAGTTTGTCTATATATGAAGTAGAGGGAATAACCRTGCAGGATGAACAGTGTTACATATTATTACTTGATTTTCCTCTCTTACAGTCCTCTTCCATGTCTGGTTTAGAAAAACTTGCTCAGACCCTAGTGGTTATCACTTGGTATMCCTATCTAATACTCTCCATTAAAAACATTCCTTTTCTCAGTCTGTGTACAGGTTCAGGTACATTTAAGGATTTGGCTTGTGCCTGGCAGCTGTTTTAAGTAAGCAAAGCAACCAGCACTGAGAAAAGAAAGTTGTTTGAAGTATGATTTGAAGTGTGTGCCTTTCAGAAGATTGCTACCACACAACATTAAATTTGCAGTCAGCTATGACTAGATGCTCACAGCAGGGGCTCCCTTCCCTTACACACACAGCTGTTAAAGTATGGCCACATCGGGCCTCCAACTCTCAGTCAATTGAATTTTGGTGCTTCAGTGACTTTGAAGTGGGGTTTGATGAAATGTTAATCTTYGTTGTGTTTACTAGATAAATAATGAGAATTGTTTTTTATTTCATCCATGGCATCTCAAAAATGTTGGCTTCACAGGATTTCAGCAATCATGTAAACAACCTTTAACTCTGAAGGAGATATTGATTTAAAATATACACTGACCGCCTACTTAAGGAGATTTCATTTTCTCTAAGGTAATTTGCTCCTATGCTGTCTCCACTTCTTGAATGATTAGTCTTTAATAGAGTTTAATCTGAACAATTCCTGTTGCAATAGTCCTATCTCCAAAATGGTTCTGTTCTGTCGAAGTGTCTATCAGCGCTGATTAGTTCCAAGTTAGGTGGGGGAGTCCCAAAGCCATCTGTATCTGTTTYGTCACATCCAGGTTACATTTTTCCAACAGTATGACTACAAGTAGATGATACAGTTACGATTTAAAAGCATCTAGTGTTTTAGGCTATGGTCTGATAAAACCAATCAAGTCTGTTTTATTTCCCCCAGAAAATTCAAATTGTTCAAAGGGGAAAGAATGTGGGCTAAAATGAAAGATTTATTGCTCAGCTAACTTCAGTAGTTCTAGGAGATCATTTTGTGCCCAACTGGCTTCAAATTGTAACTCAGTATTATCTCTCCTTTTCTGGCTACCTGTCTTGATTCCCTTTGTTGTTCAGTTTTCACTTTTGGCAAGGATGTTGTTTATTATCATCACGTTGCTGTGGTAATTTTTTTTTTTTTTTTTTTTAATTAAATTGGTAATGCATTTTTTAAAACTGTGGCCAAGACACAGATTTTAAAATTATGATTTTATAAAAGTACTTAATTATTGATAATGCAGAATAAGTGCTTGACATTCACTGGTGTGATTAATTTGTTAGTCACAGGCAGATGTTTCTCCATTAAGAGGATTTAATTCAAAATATTACTCTATATTAAGGACCATATTTGTTTTTTCTCAAGTAGTGTTTCTTTTATTTAAATTACTTCATAATCTCTTTTGTTGGAGAATTCTTTTATCACAAAAACTGATTTGTTACCTACAACTGCACATATTACTATGATTTATTTATTATGAACTATTACTAGACTAATAACATACTGAATACTGAAAACCACTGTCACTATCCAAAATATGATTATTTTGGTTACCATTGATTATATTGCACTATCCTTTATTAGCATAAAACTTTTGCATTTGTTAAAGTGAGCAAGGCTGTGCCATTTGTGAACTGATGCTGTAAATKACTAGATATAGTAATATAACTATCTAGGAGCTAGATAGTTAAATTAGGCATTGGTTTAATGACAATAGTTGAGAATGCTTCTTAAGAACATTAAGAAGTTTGATTTTTTTTCCAAATGGGAAGTAATTTAAACAGTCTAATATGTCATAATTCCACAGTACTTTCCCACCATATTTAATGTTGGATTTAGACTATCATARCCAATTGGGCAAATTTTTTGTGTCCAATCCCAATAATGTTTACMAAATTAGGAGCCTTGCAGGGCCAGATTTTCATCATGCTGATATAATTAGCAGAGATTAGGAGAAATGCTGCTGAACCTGACTACCATTGTGTTAAACTGTCATAGAACAGAGAGTCATGTCCTTTGATTTCGATAGAAGTTTTAATTTCCTGAGGAAAAAGGAACAGGTGTGTAAGATTTGGCTTTGTGTGTCAATATTAATTTCATTCAACTCAAAAAAAATAACAGCCTACTGAAGGAGTTACCTGAAGTTTTAACATGATCTGACTTGGAAAAGTTTCTTTTCTTGTCATTTACTTACCACTCTTTTCTCTATATTCTTATTCTTATGTCTTATTTATTCCAGACAATACATAACCAATTATTTTCCCTTTTAAATGCTAAAAAACCCTTGGAAAATATAGGAAAAAATAACATTTCTCTAAATCATTCTTGGAACAGTCTGATAGTTGCATGTGAATTAGGCCTAGCTTCTCAAAAATTTGGTTTCTTTGTAACATGGTGATTTTAGTGTTATCTAAATACTTTTGAGGATATCGTTATAATGACAAGAAAGACTGCTGTAGCCTGTGCATTAGGCAAGACAATACTCACCTGGTAAATATGGAGGGCCCCYATGTGAAACATTTGAGCTTACAAGRAGAAGTTGGGGCACATTGCAGCAAGGGATGCTTATTTTGTGCATGRAGCCCTGGGCTGCAGTGCTGCATGCAGGACAGTTCTACATTGTTCACGTGACCTTTACAAACATAMTTCAAAAAATAGTCTTTTTTCTGATCCTGAAATTCAGGATCTCARAACTGTTGGATCTCAAAATGAGTTTCTCAAAACCATTGAATCTAATTAAACTTATTAGACTTAAGAGTCTGCAACCCTGAGGTGTTAAATTAGAAGTTTTCTGCTAGAAATAAGTTCTGTAGTGAATTCCTGGATCTTGTGAAATCAGTAAATGTTCTGTTCTTAGCTTTATGGGGACAGGTCATTCTGGTTATCTCCTGCTAAGCAGTTCCAACTTCTGTTATGGAAGTGGTGATAGAAGACTCTATCAGTATTCTGCACAGCTCCAGAAATGTACAGTATACAAGTTCTAAGTTAAAGATAACTGTATCCATCATCCTGTTCCTGTTGTTTGTACTCCRGTACCCTCTGTATCTGAGAACTTTACTGCAGTCTGATGTTTACTTCTCCCGTCTTCGTGGAGGAATTTGCACATGATTAATGTCTTCTGAGAGCTGATATACAATCAGTCCTTTAGAACTGAGCCATGCAAGTCAAAAAGTTTCATCCTGGCACAACGTGTCAGTCAGAGCTGTGAATGGAATGAAAGATAGTCTGTGGTGCTTGAGAGGACGGTCCTTCTGGGAATGGAACTTGCTAAGGCTTGATATGTGCRTTTCAGCTCCAGTCTAACTGAAGTTCTCCATATAGTGTCATGGGTGCTGGTAGAGGAATCTGCTGGATTCACCAGTCAGGCTGTTGGTGGAACAGAAACCACAAGGCATTTTGCACCTTTAATACACTTTTCCCCTTGTGAGGATGGATATCTTCTTATTTGTGCAGGGAGAAAACCAAAATGTATTAGGACAAACTACTACTTCAGTGTTTATTTGAAATAAATGGATGAAAATCTGTAAAAATATTGCATGACTTATTTGTTTAGACACAGTTGAACTTTTTGACTGTAGTGCTACTTTGCTTTAACTATGTCCTAAATACAAAAGGTTTGCTTTTTTTCRTTCCTTATCTTTCTTTGTCTGTTCTTCCTGAATTTTTCTTAAACTTCCTGGAGTCTGTGTGATTGGTTTTTTTATTTATTCATTCTTATATACAGTAATATTATCTGGACTATTGTTTGGCATGCTGCATTTCTCTTGAAGGAAACAAATAAATAATTTTTTTTTTTTTGCTGACAAGTCTCATGCAGAAAAAGGTGGACAAATGATGAATCACTTCATGATTMTGACAGTACTGCTCCTCCTGCGGACTTGCTACACAACATACTCACAGCAAGGTAAATATCTGAGTGTTTGATTTTTTTTTTTTTTTTAAATTTGGAAACAATCTACCACAACTGARTCTTTAGACTTGCTGATTTTTAGTGTGATTAAGCAACGTTACACATTTAATCGAATTATTCTCTTTAGTGAGGTGATGGAGCAACTTGCATTATTACCTTTTGTGACTCCATTATGCAAAATGGCCTGTTGAATCAGCAGCTTGTATTGATGTGAAGCCAATGCATATTTATTTGCTCCTCTTCTTTCTCCTATGTTTTTGATCTGTAATGTCATGTTCAAATAACTTATTTCCTCTTTGACCACTTTTACGGTTTTTTACCTCTTTCCTTTCTTTTTTTGTCTCATCTCTGAAAACTTTAGCATTTTTGTTGGTACTTTTCTGATTCCAGAAGATTCCAGGCTACAAGATTCCAGGCTACAAGATTTTTATTTTTTTACACTTCACATATTTATCCAATAAAAATATGAAAGGCAAATATGTGTATTTGAAGGAGACAAGATTTAATATAATGATAACGTTTCAGAAGGCTGTGTTTTTAAGGTAAAAATACTTTTTGTGCACTTGCTGGCAATAGTATTTGGGCGTGAGTCCATTAAAAGAAAAAAGAAAAAATTTAATTGACCTTTCTGTGATCACCACTAAGAAGGCAGACCTTACCATACTCTAGTGTGTATTATGGAAATTTTATTTCCTTTATTAAGTTGATAAAAAAGGAAGATACATGTTTGGGTTTTCAAAAATAGATGTATTGTCATACTGAAGGGGATCATATATCTATTTCAGACWTTTTGTCTCTCTTCAATCTTGAAATTCTTGCATTCACAAACCACTCATCCTCTGTTTTGAGACTTATTACCAGTTCTCCTAGAATGGCAAAACTTTGTAATACAGGCAAGTCCAAACAGGTACTTCAGTACAGTAGCTTCAYGACTTGTTTTCACTTGCAGTTGTTCAGGAATAAAATTAGTTTCTGTTGTTAATAGTAAAGCGATTCATATAGTCTTGAGCTAGCTTTCAAGTTAAAACAAGTCTTAAGATCACTTAATTTTGCTAGGAGGGAATATTGTGACTGTGAATGCTGCAAATATTTCTATGTGTTAAACTTATGCTCCAAAATTTTTTAATACCTACATTGTAACTCAGTGCTCATCAAGATCTTTGATGTATCCTTAACTATAGTGTTTCCTCTTTTTAGCGCTATGTAAAAGCTCTGATTGGTGATCTAGACTCAGTTACACCAGATCCTGTGGAAAACAAAACTGTGTGGGGTCTGAAGTGATATGTCRTCTAACTGAAAGGAGATAGTGGAAGGACACTTGTACAGATAAAGAAAAAACAAAAACTAATGAGACCTTTGCAGTTTTTTTAATGAAGTTARTTAGATGTGGCGGGTGGAGGTATGCTTTATGGTGAGAAATGGGACAATATTTTAGTTTGGACAAAAAGAAACAGATTCAGAGAGGAGATTCAGGCTCATCATCAATGCAATAATAGTGGCATAATAGTGACACTTGCAATTASGGTTTGCTAGAAAAACAGCAGAAAGAGAACAAGCAAATTCAGAAAATATGCAGAAGTTTCCTTCAGTGGTGCACCTTGAAAAAGAAAGGGGCTTCTGCCAACTGAGTGGCTTTWCTTTCAGATGTACTTGTTTCCTTTCTCTGGGCTCTAAGTTGGTGCCTGTGAACTTCATTGAGAGACAACAAGGGTCCTTTCCTTCTTCCAGTTCCTCTCTTCCCCAGTTGCTTCAGCAGTGCAGACAGAAAACATAATTGCAGAGTTCTAKATCAGCCACCTCCTTGTGTACATGAAATGAGATCCCCTAAGAGACTTGGTGCATGGTGCTTTTGGTAAATAGATGATGAACGTGCAAGGTTGACCAGAAAATGACCAGCTAAAGTTGCCTACTGGAGAGAAACAACATTACAGTCAATTCCTTAGCATAAGTGGGATTTTAACAGTGTTTAATTTGTTTTGATGGTGAAAGTCCATAGAATGTGGGAAAATGTAGTGTATTTTGACCTATCTTATGAAAATAAAGTGATACTTCACTTCTACTGTTAATTTTATGACTCATTGTGTTGTTTTGGTTGTTCTGGCTCCTTGCCTAGTCAGTTGTTGGCAGTGAAGGTAATAATATTTCCTTTTTCCAGTAAAAACTAAAATTGGTGCTCCATCATCATTTAGTGAATTTTATCCTCAAACCTTCCACTTTGTTTATTCAGTTTCAGACACCCACAAGTTGTCATGCTCAAAAGCAGCTGTGAAGCAGCAGATACATTTTGTAAGAACCATGTTATTACCATAGCCAAAAAGGAAATTTAACTTCTGCATTTGAAACATTTTGCATTTACCTCACAGAGAAGCAAAGGCTGTCAATTCTACTTTCATGTAATTTACACATATTAATAATTTCCCAGTAATTATATATTAAGATTACAATGAGAATTGATAGAAGTTGTGTTGCATATATGTGTCTTAATTTCTTTCTCCAGAACACTAAAGGATACGACAGTCCGGTTCTGAGACCAACTGTTTGAACAGTGAAACTTGAGTTCTTTGTCCAAGCTTATCTGAAGGAGTTTATACCAGTAGTTTCCTCTAGACTGAAAGCATATGGTTTTCATTTTGCTCTGACTTTTAGTACCCTTCAAAATGGAATAGGTTAAAAATATCCTAACAGAATTTTTGGATGCTTTCAGATGATTTGCTTTTCTTCCAGAGGTTAAATAACTTTGTACTAATGGTAAAGTATGTTCTTTTCTCCATTTAGTCTTTATAGTCTGAACTTATATAAACAACGAAGTTGTGTCAGTGTAAGTTGTGTCAGTATCCTCGTAATTAACAAATATGCTTATGAAGTTTTATTTGCTTCCCTTGATTGACCAGATTGTTATAACTGCTGCTTCTCTTGAGTCTTTAGTTTCCTTCTCCTAATGTAAAAATCTCTATGCAGGAAAACTGCTGCACAGAGGTTAGTGTAATGCAGGTATCTCAGGATGAGCTGCAGAATGGTTTGGATTCTTGATGGCTACCAGAAGCATCTATCAAAATGTAGATTCTCAGTCTAAATCTCCTGAGTGATTGTGTTTCTGCTAGTGATATATGGTGAAAGTCTCAGATAGTTCAGTGGGCAAAGCATATCTGGGAGACAGGGGAGGAGTGGCAGCTTTGTAAGAAGGGGCTGCTGAGGTCACTCAATCCATCGTGTCCCTGGTGACTCTGGCTGTAATGTGCCAGGAATGCACAGAATGAGTTCTGTTTTATTACAAGATGTGGCTATTTTTGTGACTTTTTTTCTGTGTCTTGGGTTGTATAAACATTCTTACCCTGTGCTTTGTAACAAGTAGAAGCATCTTGGAAAGCACCTGTGGCAAAAGAAAAAGCCTAGTTGGCTGTTTCCTTTCCTTGGCTTCATTAACAACCAGATCAAGTTTAGGGGCTTTATATTTGTTTAGTTTTCAGGAAGTAGAGAAATGACAAATCAGTAAGTGCTATATTTCATCTCTTCCAAGAGTTAGGGGTTTTAGGGAGGGGTGACAAAGCAAATATCTAAAAAGAGGAACTACTTACAGGGTTATCTGTAGTTCTCAGCAGAATAATCTTGCAGGGCCTTTCATTTCCTAACACTAAAAGGGACTTCAGTCTGACATTKAAACTTTACTTCATTATGGGAATTAATTCCAGACCAAGAGAAGGATGCAGGTACCATTAGAGCAAGGTGTCTAATTCCCGTAGAAGAATCCATAGCCCTGACTAAAGTACCTAAGCTCTTTGTAGAGCAACCAGGAATGTGCTTAATATTAGACTATCATCTGAGCTACCTATGGAGGGAAATTCTTAACCTATTCTGTTTGAATAATGGTTTTGCATTAACTCATTTAATCTGAATTAAGTCAGAGATCAAAACTGAGCCCAGAGTTTCTGCCCTAATGATATGAAGGTTTTCTGGGAGTTGGAATTTTTGGAATTTAGTCCCTCTTAATACATTACATTGTTTCTCTTCATAAGATTATGAAGGGAGGGATCTGTATTCCCATAAAACAGCTAATAAATTGAGAGCATAAAGAAATTTATGAACAGATTCAGGAACCTCATTTTAGCCTGCTGATTCCTTAAGAAGAAATATTATTTTTCCATTGTTTATCAATAGCACTGGTCTTTATCACTTTTGTTTTTCCCTTCAGAACCATCTGTTGTGGAACCTATCGTACCTTTAATCACTATTATTTCAGATCTGCTTTGTAACTTAGCTAGACAGTAATATTTTTGTGTCCTTTTCCTGCTCCTAGAATCCAATGTGTTTCCAGTAAGATACCTTAACGTTTCCAAGGATTTGGCTCTTCAGCAGCTGCAGGTGGAATGGGATGTTGACAAGGCAGCGCATGATGCTGAGCTGGCAATGTCTTTTGAGATAGAAGTCCGTCGAATCGATGAAGCTGCTACTCTGTGGACAGTAAATGTACATTGAAAAGAAGAATACTAGTCATTTACAGTGATGGAAGATGTAGTGGTCTCTCTTTGTGAAGTCCCTATCTTAATAGTTTTCCCAAACACAAACCAGCATTTTCTGAAGAGGAGATCACCCAAATAATAGGCTTAAGCATATTCTGGGTGTTCTTAAGCCTGTTTTTCTGTGTGACTTCTTTATGAGAACAGTCTCCAAAGAAAATTTAAAACTTAGTAAAACTGAGAAACTGCACTAGCTCATTTAAAGTTGCTATTTGTCTGAAAGCGCAGAAAACACACAAGGGCTTATTTTTCTGAAATCAGTCATCAATAAAACAAGATAGGAATTGTTAAAAATCACAACTTCATTTGAACAGCCTAGTTAGTGTTCGTTTGTCTCCACGTTTGAAGAGCCACATCTTSGCCGCAAATAAGCTCTATGCAGTTCTGAAGGTTTTTACCACTTTGATAGGTTGGATAGGAATTTTAGCTCTGTGAGTAGATCTAACCCTGAAGTCAGTAACTGGGGCCAAATAGGTACAATTAAGTCTGGGCTATTCTGAAATCTCCTTCAAAAAGCTCTTATTAATTTGCTGGAAGGAAGCAAGAGTGTTTCAAATCCAGGGATGTAGTCTTTTCTGTTATTTGTAATAAACATGACAAGGTACTTTGGATGTCACTACCATACAAGAATATATTTGCTTCTGTATTTTTCCAAAGAATGTGTACCAATACAGAAACTTGAGTCTGCTCTTACCAAAGTGCAATAGACGATATATCCAGAGTAGTGACTGCATTCCTCAGGGATATAACTAAGAAATTAAATTTTGAACTGATGGCAGAGTTTTTCTCAGACCAGTGGTAATATGAAAGTGCAGGTGTTGCTGATGGAAAGCAGTACTGGAGAGAAGTTCTCTAGTGGTCAGTGTGAGTTAGGGCTTTGTACAACTCATAAGAGCAGCACAGATCAGCATGCAGAGAATCTGAAATATTTGCTATAAGAAGTACTAAAATACACAGAATCACAGAATCTCATAGGCTGGAGAAATTCTTTAAGATCATTGAGTCCAGCTGGAAACCCAGCACTACCTAGTCCACCACTAAACTACATCCCTAAGTGCTGAATATCTCTTAAATCACTCCAGGGATGGCGACTTCACCACAGGGATATGCAACGAGAGCATTAGGATGCATTCGTAAGCAGCAGCTTATGTAATAGTAGGCACAAATAACCTACTGAAAGTCTCTGAGAGCAAATACATGTCATGAGAAGCAGGGTCTCACTCACAAATGTCAGCATTTTGGCCACTCTACCACTGCCACAGACCTGTAAACTGTTAATTAGCTGACTAGTTACTAGATACTTAGTATGAGCTCATGTGTAGCTAGTGGAATTTCAGACATTTATTTTCAAAATAATTTTCCTCCTTTGAGCTTTCTCACTGCTTTTGTTTGTATTCCCAAAGTGCCTTCACACTTCTGTGTTTTTAATACTTTGCCTTACTGCTCTTTGTAGAAATTTCACAATGTCACACTTCATAAATTGGAAAAGCCTCTTCATTGGACATGGGATTCAGACATACCTTTGGAGTGTATGTCACATGAAGTGAAAATCAGGAGCAAGGCAGAAACATCAAAAATCTGGAGTCGGTGGAGTTCATGGGAGACTGTCCCAGGTAAGTAAAACAAGATTTTGAAGTATTGGTTTTATTTTTTTCTAGTATAAGGCTAGTTTGTAATTCACCAGTGCTTTAAGCACTAACCAGTTTCTTACATTTTGCTGGCAATAATAGCAGTGCTTCAGCCATTGCTCTAATTTGCAGACTATCTTCCTAAGCTAGTAGACCAAAGGTTTTAGAGCTTTTTCTTTGCTCACATATTAAAACAATGCAGTACATTGAGTGACATTGATCTCGGATAGCCACATCCCCAGCTCAGACTCAGGGAAAGGAGAGGAAGCTCATAGCTAGGGGTTACATGATCTGATGAAAGCATTGCTGTTGTCTGGGGTTCAAAACTTGAATTATATTGCAGAAGCAGAGGGAAAGAAAAAAGTCAGCTCTTTATGTCACTTGGAATGAATGTCTTGTGAATTATATCAGAATAAACAGGGAGTGAACCAATAATGTAATTAATGGCACCACAACTTTCTTTTTTTTTTTTTTTTTTTTTTTTGAGATTACCATGTTTTACTAGAGCAATTTGGTTTACAAAGAATCTTGTTTAAACAAAATATGTAACTGCTTTAGAAAATATGCCTATAAAATTGTGATTTTATAATGAAACACTTGTTTGGAGCCACAAGGGCTTTGAGTTATTGGTGATATCATGGATACAGAAGAAGGATCAGGTATCTTCATACTTGGATTGTGGCATTCATTTCTCTCTTGTTATATAATGGGAAATAAGATGCAACACTCTCTTTTTGGTCCCACTAATCTTAACCTTGGAGATTTCATTTTTTTCTATTGTAATTGGATGGGATTGCAATTGGATGTTTCTTTGTCACAAACTGATCCCATATTACAGACCTGATTTAGAGGTCTCTGAATGATAGTAACTCTAGATGTCATCATTTTTGAATCAGATTTTTGAGAGTAGATTTTACCTGTGCAACATGTGTAAAAGATTAAGTCACCTAAATTCCACTAATTTTTGCATCCAGGAACTWGTCCAACAGGCTTTCAACTCCAGCCTGGGAGTCTCATTCCAAGCCTCACTGATCTGATTCAGTCCATGTTGACTTCTCTTAGCTCACTGAGCTCTGCCTGAGCATCAGATCATGTTTTCCTAGCCCCTTGCTCAGAGTCTTCAAGAGCAGGCATTTTGGATATAAGCAGCAGCCTGTGCACAGAAACAGGAGGTGGTGTTCCTTTGTGAAGGCAATTCTTGACAGCACACTTTTGTTTCCTCTAAGTGAAAGTAAAATGGATTTTGTCTCTTAGGTAGTCTGTTGGACTATGTTATATTCTTATGAGTTTAAGAGCAATATAGGTAATATTATATGTGAAATTCATGTCTCTGCTGGGAGGAATATTAGATGAAAGTCTATGAATGGATCATATAACATTAACTATTCCTTGTGTAAATGCATAGTTGTGTTCTGGCTGAAGGCTGCTGCTATGACCAGATTTTAAAACGTTTTGAAATGTTTTGTAATTTGCAGGCCTGGACACTTCAAATAGCAGTGGGCCACAAATCTTTCCAAAAGAAAAAACTTTAGAAGAAGGCTCTGACATCACTCTTTGCTGCATAGCAAGGAAAAATAAAACCATTAAGGAATTCTCTGTACGCCCAGCTGGTGATRTTTTCAATCACACAATCGGTCAAGTCAGACTTCTCACTGTGAAAAATGTGTCACATGACAAAGGATCTAACATTCAATTCTACTGTTTGGATGAAGATGAGGAGCTCCAACAGGCAGCTTTCTTTGTGGGTAGTAAGTTAACACATTGCTGCAGTTTTATTTTCCTCTTGTTATTAGCTCAAGAATGACTGTGGAAAAAGTGGACAGGAGAAAAAAACTTGATGTAAGTTGTCATAGTCTTGTCATGTCCAGCTAAAGTCTGTTTAATAAAGTCTGACTTCAGAGCCTTAACTTACATATAGAAAGCAGTAAAGAATAGCATTAAATTAATTAACATTAGGACAGGTGGTTGATTCTTGGATATACCCACCTGTTTAGGAGTTCAGCTTCATTGTGTKCATGTGGTAAAAACTCAGCACAGTTCCCCTTTTGAAGGCTAATAGCGATTTTTAAAGATAGAAAAGAATACAGACTCAATAATTGAATGGATGGGTATAGAAAAGAGATAATAGAGTATACAAGTTTGAGTGCCATTAACTCATGGTATTATCCTGATTGTCTCTGCAGAGATGTCATTGAATAAGTGCAATTTCAGTAATAACATCTATAGTAAACCAGACTTCGAAATTATCCATTATATCTACCTTGTTAATATATTAAAAACATGGATAACTTTTGTCTTGACTGCCTTGTTTTTTTTGGTCATTTCCTCTGAMAAGAACCACCTTACACACCTGAAGATTTTTCCTGCCAAACTCAAGACATGAAAACAGTAAACTGTACTTGGAGAAAAGGAGGAGAGACCTATCTCTATGGACAGAATTTACCTCAATACACCTTGTCTGAAACGTAAGTCTCATTTTATATTARCTCTGATCTACCCTATACCAAACAGTGACCTTCTTTCCCTTAGAATCTGTGGAAATGCATTTTGTCCTTGTAATTACCTGCCTGCCTCTTTCCACCTCACTGATCACTTATTTTACAAAGCTTGAGCTGAGTTCCTTCAGAACTGCTCTGAATTAGACTAGCTATCACAAAGTTGGCAGTCCTTAGAATAGACTGTGCCTGATAAAGCATATTCTAACCATTCTTTTGAGTTAGTATGTTTGAGTACTGTTCAGAGATATGAAAACAACCTGAAATCAGGATAAAGATAACTTAAAAGTATAACATAATTATTGGGTAGCACACACAACAGATAACCAGGATCAGCTGGGAGGCTGAGTATTAGTATGCTCATTATCCATTGACACTAATGCTGACTCAAGCTTAGTACTTAGCCTGAATTCTCTCCTTAGCTCTTTTCCTTTAGAATTTTAGAACTTTACATGCTGTTGTTTTTCATCTTGAATCCTTGAGCTACTGAAAGTCCTATCTCAAAAGTCCTTGTGTCTATAATTTCTGGCTGCCTTCTTTACTATTAAAAAAAAAATCTACAGACTTTCTCACAACCGTTTCTTAGCAGTCTGAGTCAAGGCTACAGTTGTGACATATCAGACATATGTTACCTTATGTGAGGAGAGGGGCTTTATAGCAGGACCTGCAGAGGAAGGGAAACTCATAAAACAGGACAGATACCTCATGATCACAGCAAACTTTCATCAAAAGATCTCAGGAGAAAACAGGCCAGCATAGCACATAMCTTCCTGGTCCCTGCATCATTCATTTCTATTAAAGATACTGTGAAGGTGATTTAAAAATGGAAGGTGACAAGACACATTTCAAGGTGCAGTTGAAATCATTTAAAAACATAATGATAGGCATATAAATGATTTAAGTCTTGGCAAATTAGTGTCTGGTTTAGAATATCCTTAAGAAAATTTCTAAAACTAATGTAGCTGTATCTTAAAAAGACAGACTTTGAAGAAAACTGTCTCTTAATATTTGTATTCATCCTACTTCATGCTAAGGGAAAGAACTGGGGGGCTCCTTATATTCCCCTCTCAGCCTTATTTTCTATGATGCTGTATTCTAATTATACATCAAAAACTTCAACATCTATGTTTGTTATACATTATGGATAAATGTCTTTCTTACTCTTTGCTCCACCTCCTACATCTCCCTTTCTTTGATAGATCATCCCAGAAAATTGCTCTGTGCAGCGCAAGTTGTCCTACGGAGTGCTCATGTTCTTGGCATATAGGCCAACAGAGGATCTGGAATGTCACAGTGACTGTGAAAAACCCACTGGGAAATAAAACTGCCACAGATGCTTTTGATGTAAATCACAGAAGTAAGTTTTTTTTTCTATGTCTTTGTTTGGGGCTTTTTGCATCCCAGTTCAAAGTATGGAATCCCTTGTTTTTTATCTTCAAAATTTGATTACTGATCTGTTCCTGTGCTATAGTTATCCTGTGCCCACTCTTCAGTGTCAGCTTTGGAAAGTTGTATTGACAATAGAAAACAGCTTTTCTCTAAAGGTCAGAGTTGGTTGTCAGAATGACCCCTTAAGGTTTCAAGATCTGCTGCTTCACTGAAGCTGGTTTATGGAAGAGAAAACAGTATGATGCAAGGGTATAAATAGTTCAAGCAAAGTATCTGTGTAGGTTACTTGGGAATTGGTATGATATGAGATTGTGATACAGGTGTAAGAGTATTGCTGAGAAAGAAAGTGATGTGCTAAGCATCTCTTGGTCCTAATATGGGACAGAAACATCCAGTGTGCTACTGTAAGGGAGGAAGAGTAGTTCATCATCGAAAAAAAGCCAGGTTATTCTGTGAGGACTGTCTGATGGCTGTGGTTCCTTGCTCCCTAGTAGTTTTGTCCTTTACCTCAGTGTATCCTGGGTCCCTTAAGTTCCTTCCTAGTCCTACCTCAACAACTAGGTATTTCTTCTGTCTCCAGCAATATTTCCTGTTCTCCTTGTGGCCTCTAGTCCCACTTCAGTGTTCCCCAGGTTCTGTGGCTGCCTCACCAGTTTGAAGAAGCAAGAGGCAACATATGCTTTGTGTAGCTTGGAAGCTGACAGAACAATGGCCTAGGAGGCTGTTGGTGCAACTGCTGCATCCTGGCACTGCTTCCTTCCTCAGAAGTGCTGACAGTTTTACTAGACACACCTTTCCATACAAAGAAATTTATGTTAGATGTCTCTTTGTGTTATATTTGTCTCAGAGAGGCATGAAAATTCTAAAAGTTGATTGTCTGATTGTTTGGAAGTAGAAGAAACAGGTCAAGAAAAAGTAAACTGTTGTAGGGAGACAGCACAATGTCATAAACTCAGTTTTCATGGGAAGTCAGGCTAGAAAAGTTTATATTCAATGTGATAAGTATATTAAAATTTTACTACAATATTCTTTTTTTCCAGTCCTAGTGATAATTGCACATTAAAGAAATTATATATAATATATATGATGACTCAACATTTTAAACAGTGATTCCTGTAAAATTCTTCATGTTTTCTCTGATCCTGTAAATATTTACATTAGAATTTTCCCAACTTAAAGGATGACAGTAAGTAAAGGAGAATATGAACTCATTGTTTCCAATTCTGCATGTGGTAGTTCGGTTGCTCTGTATCAAACACAAACTCTTTTGAGCATTCAAGTCCTCAAATTGTATTTCATAAAATAGCGTAATTCAATGAGGTAATTAATGAAATTTTAGGCTAATGGATGAGTGTATAAGCATACCCCTCACTTGCATTACCATGTCCTCACATTGTATTGCATTCCTCACAGTTACACTGATAATATGGGACAGTGTGATCTCGTTCACTTGCTGAATGCTGCTTACACAGCAGTAAAGGATCTTCTTCCAATCTTTTGGTGCTGTTTACCAGAGGGTAACTACAGACAGGAGTCAGTGTTAGAGTTGTGAATAAAATTTGTGTCAAGGAGACTGGATTCTGGGGTGTAGAAATGCGTCTAATGTTACCATGTTACACCAGGATCTTCTGCCAGGCCCTAAATCAGAGAACTTTACTGGTTTGCAATAAATGTCTCTCTTCTTTTGTCTATGATGTTTTAAAGTATTTCTAAGTTGTCACAGGGTTTTTTAAAATGTTGTTAACATTTACTTATATTTGCATTCTGAAATTAAATTTTATAATTTATATATGTTTCTTCTGGACTAGGAGAAAATATCTGTATTTTTTACTTGCTTTTACTACTCAGCTAAAAAAAATTTCATCTACTTTTTAATAGATTTTAATTTTACAAGAGTTAACTCAGGTTTTCCATTGGCAGTGCGTCCCACTGCACCTTTCCAGGTTTGGGGAGAATGCACAGATACAGAAATCACTTTACATTGGAATTACCGTAACAACGGAATTGAGCTCTTTTGTCAGACTGAAGTGGTCCAGCCTGATGGGAAAGTAGAACTGGTATGAAACCTGAATTTCCTAATTCAGTGAGTGAGGATCTTTCTGATGTGAGATTAAAAAATAATTCCTCAGCAATACAAATACACTGTAAATMTTTTGAGCATGTTGATATGTCTGTTTTCTGGATTTGCTTGCTCCCAAGCTTTGCACTGATTATGTGCTCTGTGTGTGCAGCCTCTGTTGGCATTAATTCCCATTCCAAGCACTGTCTGTACTCTGGCAGAGTGCATGGTGTGACTGGTCTGCGTATGTGGCTTAGTGCTCTGTTGGGTTCTGAGATTTGTTGAAGTTAATGAAAACCCTTAAGGGCCTAGTAAATGTAAAGCTGTATTGTATATGTCATGTATAAATCAGCTACTGCTAATCTTGATTTGTTTTAATTGCTCATATCATTTCACACACAAGTGGTGAAGAGCAGTGTTGAAGATTTCTTTTGTATTATCCCTAGATATTTCTGTTTCTATTGACTGTAGCTGATAGTAGTGAGTCTGGTTTCTAGTGATGGAACCTTAGGAGAGTTTTTCTTCCTTTCCTCTTCCATCTCTTTGAAGATTATTTGAGTAGATTCCTTATCTTGTTTCACCTCTTCCACAAAATGCGAGGTTGATGGACTATTTGCCCGTGTACTGTCACTTCTCTGTGACTCTTCTCTTAGAAGGCAGCTTGCCTCTACTGCATTAAAAAGGCACAGTGAAGATCACAATCAAGCTGAATTCTATCTTGAATGTAGCTTAAGAGCTGTCAAATCAAGTGATCACCACAGTTGGCCACTGCCAGAGACAGTTTTGAGGAGAGGCTTAAAATCATGCTGGCTTTTTGACTCTTACCAGAGCTCACTCTGTCTTAGGAGGGAATGGGGTAAAGGCTGAGAAAAAAAAATGAAAGAAAAGGTAGCTGTAGATTGCTCTGCAATTACCTGGAGCAGCATCCTACTTTTACTTAAGGTAATAGTTCCAGACTGTAAAAGGGCAAGATCTCAATAAATTCCCTYCTTAATGTAAAAAGTACTAATGTGAAAAGATCTGAGTGACTCAGACAATTACACAAAGGTGACCTCCAGACCTCTTTTTGGATCTTCCTCTGTGTTGATCTTGTGCATTATTTTCTCTTCTTTTTTGATTGTTGTTCCATGACTGTCTTTCCCAAGTGATGCCTAACTGGCTCTTGCAGGATCTAGAGGAAGAACGATTTTCTCAGAGAACATCTTGCTGAGGATGCTGGAATGAGCTGTGGCTGYTGTGATTTTGTGTTTTGCAGCACAACAGCTCTGATGTGGCCTCACACCACAGGAGCGTCACGGTKCGTGGGCTGCAGCCTCACACGGAGTACAAGGCCAGGGTGCGCTGTGGGGCTGCCAAGCACTTCTGGAGGTGGAGTGAGTGGAGCCAACCCCAGACCATCAGAACAATGGAAGGAAGTATGTCCAACCTACGGAGAGGCAAAGTTTGAGGGATGTTCTTTGCTCACCACCTCCCTTTGCTGTTTGTTTTTAGTCTTCCACTGCTAAAGCAGAGGCCTGTAGAAGGCATAGAAGGACAGTGACCAAATCTCAAGAACATGACTTCTTAAATAACTCTCAGCCTAGCTGCTAGTCTCTGACGTTTCATCCAGTGAAGACAGTTGGAAATCCAGTTGACTGGGATGATGGTCTGACTGAACTACATTTCTCTGTCAGGCCTGGAGGAATGGTGCAGAGGTGGGAGCAAGCATTTAGTAGATGCAAGTAAACATTTTCAAGGAAAAGTAACCAGACTTTARTTCAGAAAAGAGAATGAAGGGGAAAAGATGTTAAAGGATAATGTTTGGGCAAGACCTGGGATTGATGGGGAAAAGTTGTTTGGAGTGAAATTTCTTCAAATGGGAGGAAGCAATTAAACTGCCTATCCTCTTTGCATCTAGTGCATTCTTCTTTTCTTGTTTTGCCATATTTATTGCAGCTCCATCAGGAAAACTGGACATATGGAGAGAAATTACACCAGTTCTGGGGGGACGAAATGTGACCTTGTTCTGGAAGGTGAGATGTCATGACAGAAACAGAAACAAAGTCCTTCTTAAAGGGGTTAAAATTTTCTCCCATTACTTGTGTGCACTTGATAGCAATTCAGTATGAAAATTTCTTTTACAAATCTAAAGTAGATTGTATGTAAAATATCTCAGAACACATGTCACTCTGATGGTATGCTGTCCTGGCATTTCAGACACATAATTCTGTTTTTCCAAGTATTATAACAAGACAAATCCCATTGCTGAGATTTCTGCATTTCCATTTCAAGTATCTGTGTGAMTGTATGGAAACAAGTGTTTATACTCGTACAGAATTAATACATTCTGTTACTTATTTAAAATTCTAAATGCTCCTCTAATATTTTTTCAGCAAAATGTTCTAAATTATTGTTCTCTTCCTTCATAACTTTTTTTTTTCCAGCAAACACCAAGTTTTAAAGCAAATGGAAGAATTATTTCATATGAAGTAACCTGGGAAAAAACAGAAGATGGCTCCAAGCCTAAAAGGATCTCCTTTTCTTCAGTCTACAATAGCWCAAGGATTTTCATTGATAACTATTCTTACAGAATCTCTATCATGGCAAAGAACAGTGTTAATTTTTCACTTCCTTCAGTATTGATCATCTCTAGTGCTACAGATAACAGTAGGAGTATTTTCARTTATTGTTACATTATTGGAATTTTGTTACCACCTATTTTAAGTGAAGTCATAATTTATCATCTCGGGCAATGAATTAACTTTACCTCTTAACTTATATCACTGCTATCTGAAAATTATGACTGTATTTTCTCCAACATGGTGGTAGCTGTATGTATTTTAAGCTTAAGTGCAGAGAGTGTCTCCAAGGAGCAAAATTCATTTAGCCCAAAACTAGGGCCTCAGGCCTGCAGCAGGTGCCTTGACAGTGCAGCCAGTGTGATTAGCCCCTTGTGACTCTCTGACTCCAGGTTCTGCAGCTGTATTTTTTTTTTTGAGCTGTCAGCTTTTAGCATGTGAAAGACCTCTATGTCATTTAGTGAGGGAGTGCAATTCTTTTATTATTGTTTCCAACTGTTTAATACAGGAACTGTATTGTACTTAATTTCTGAGCCTGAAGTTTATGCAGGACAATGCTAAGAAATTCTGTTTTGTTCTTTCCTAGGCACTGAAGAGCTCAAGGAAGKACAAGTTACTGGGACAGATGATGGCATTCTTATCTCCTGGGAGCCCAAAAGTATATACGACAGTTACGTTATTGATTGGTGTAACTTTCCCAGGTTGCAGCCTTGTGATTTGCAGTGGAAGATATTTGGACCCAACACTTCCAGTGCTGTGATCAACTCAGGTGAAAGCCAAACAACTTTTCTTCCTGACTCCTCAGTCCTTCAAGCTGTGGTCATTAATTGAATTTAGGAAACAAATCACATGGAATATTGAATTCTGTGCTGTGTGGGTGTAATTCTTCAAAGGCATGTGGCATCATGTTTTTCCTACCAAATTAATTAGACACCACAAATGTACAGCACCTTGGAAGGCATCATACTATATCAGAGAAATCAACACAGTATTTTAGACACCACCTCTTCTGAGTGGCTTGTAGCAGCATCTTGAAGGAGGATGATGAGATTAATGAAGGAATTAAAAATATTTTAGCAAGAAAGATGTAAAATGGACATCTATTTTATGTGTAATAAGGATAAGGCAATTTAACACCCATGGTGTAGTTAGGGGTTTGGTGCTGGAACTGTGCCACAAATTATGTGTCTCAGCACCAACCTTTGCTTAGGATCAGTTGCATTTTTTTTTATTATTCCAGTGGCAGCCAGCAGGCCTAAATCCTTTCTGTCTGGGTGAAAGTTGCTCTGAAATGCTTCTACAGCTGCAAGAATTTAGGCTTCCTAAAGTCTCWCAAGTTCTCAAGCTGAGAACTCACTGTAGAATGAAACACATTTGAACAGAATTTGACTGAACACACATAGATATTCAGTTAAGGAACTGCAACTCAATTCATACAAATGTACGTAAACCTGCACTTAGTGAAGGGGACTGTGGTAATCCATGAGAAGAGTATTGTCATGTTCTTCAGGGGTTTGCACTTGCTTAATGTGAATGGGAGGAATGGGAGTGGATGTCAGTGAGGACAATATGGAATCCTGGTGCATGGTTATGTGTGTGCATTAAACAGTCCAAAACATGACCTTTGCCCATGTAAATGAAATTGTCTTTATTTTTGGTGCATTTGGAGTCTATTGTACAGTCACCTGAATACCATACAGCAGCAAAAAAAATACAAAAAYGCCTCCCCCAGTTCTCTCTTTTAGACAGAAAAGTGTTTAATTTTAAAAAATGTGTTTAATTCACATAATGTGCAAGCCAAGAGTTGGCTTGCTCTCTGTCTCCTTCAGCTGCTTGAATAGCTCAATAGCACACAGAGAAGGTGTCTAATAGGTTATTGACCTCTGTAAGAAGCAGTTAAATAAAAATAACACTATAAGACCAACTATGACCTCTTTTTGTAATCTATTCAACTGTTTTCTAGCTTCTTTTGTTCCGGGGGTGAGATATAAATTCCGTATCTATGGATCTGTTGATAATAGAGCCTCTTTACTGGAAAAGAAGACTGGTTATCTCAGGGAGCTACGTAAGTTGGTAACCTGTTTAGGGTTTGTTTATTTGCTAAACTGAAGTGTCACAATCCCTCCTCCTACAGCTAGATAAAATTGTATTTTCTGTGTTCTTTTTATATCTTCAGTGAAGCATTTAAAAGTTGTATGTCAGCATACAGATCTACATGGACCATAGTGCATTTGGCTAGTGCAGTGGCCAGGCAGCCCATGTCTATTTTGAGAGCTAGACAAAGCTGTGATTAACAGTCATTGCTTTGTGTATTATGTGGATGCATGAAGGCTCAGTTTTTGTAGAGGACTTTGGCTTTGTTCAGCTTTTAAATACAAGAAAGATGTAAACATAAACACCATATATCAGTGTGGATTTTTCAAATTATAAGAGAAAACACTCTTGAAGAATATTGCAAGTTAAACTTGAATTTCCTTTCTTCCAGCTCCTCAATTTGACCCTATTGTGAAAAAAATTGACCTGACTTACAGTTCAGTAACACTGTACTGGGATTATCATCTCACAAATGAGTCAGAGCCTGGTTTTTTAAGAGGCTACCATGTTTATGTGTCACCTRTACAAGGGAACTGCAATTTGAAAGGATCAAAAAAGCACATTCTTCCAGGTAACTGAGCTGTCTAATACAGAAAGTTGTGTCATTGAATCAGATGAAAGATTTGTTGGTATTGCAGCATCTTAGAAAGTTCATATTAGGCAATCAGGCTGGCTCATTCGGCCATCTGTAGATTTCAACACTGGCTGCTTGTGCTAGAGGTGCTGGTAGGCAGGAGTGATTCCTGGCTTTACAAGATTTACAGCCTCCATCTCGCTGCCTGTGACTCCTTTTTAGCTCCACAAAAGATTTCTTTGGTCCTATGGGACGAGTTGTGCCTCTTGTGATGTGAGTTCTGTATGAATTTTGAAAAATATGTTTGGTATACTTGGATAAAAGTCATAAGAAGCATGTTAATCTTGTTGGGATTTGGGTTATTTTAGAAACAGATGGAACACAATTTATTTCCTTCAAAAACAGAACACTGTATTAATTTCCCATGTAAATTCTTTTCTAGTGAAAGTATTTGTGTGTGTGCTCTACAGTGGAGTTCCTTCATCAGAATTAAGCTATGAAGTGGCACAAAGCCAGATCYAAACTTTTATCTTTTTAGACCTTTCTGTTCCACATGCAAAATTGCTCCATATGGCTTCGCTCCATTATAATTTTCAGATGTTTCCAGCATGTTAAAAGAGTATTATATTTTTTTCCKTGCCTCTTCTTCTACTTGGATCATGTCCTGTATTCCTTCTGCTGATTAGACTAGTGCCAGATGAAAAGCATAGTTTGAACTAAGAGAGGCTTATGTAGAAGTTCATGTCAGAAGTAAACTAGCCATACAAGTACCATAACTCTTAGTTAGAGTTAAAAAAGTTTAAATAAAATATTTTCTGCTTCACTGCTTCTGCTAGCAGACAAGGGTGTGACTGAGAACAGCAGAAAAAAGCTAACCCATTTCTCCCTGGGGTTTGGTAATTGCATAATAGAGAGGCAAAAGAAACTTCTTTTTCAGGCAGKAACTTCTTGCTTTTTATTATCTTCAAAGAAATTGGCCTAAGCRTAAGGACTACAGGATTCTGTTAAAAAAGGGAAATGGCAAAACTCAAATCATTCAGGTAAAATGCCCTAGGAAAAAAAAAAATAAACAGTGTCATCCTTTGACAACAAGTTGTTAGGTGTCTGCCAAGAGTGGGCAATGCTGTGGACAGCCCAGTTAGAAGGGATGTGGATTCAGCCCAGTGGCAGTGAGTCAGGATGCATCATCCTTCTCAGAAAAAAAGTGTATAAAGCACAAAGAAGGMGGGTTTCAAATGTTTTGTTGTTTCAGTTAAGTGGGTTTTTAGTATTTTGGGGATAACTTATTGCAATATTTCAGTACTTAACAGAAGGCTGATAAAAAAGAYGGAAAGAGACTTTTTACCAGGGCCAGTAGTGACAGGACAAGAGGGACTCTTTTTAAACTGAAGGAGTGTAGGTTTAGATTGGATATTAGGAGATTGGATGAGGGTGGTGAGGCACTGGCACAGGTTGCCCAGAGAAGTTGAGKGTGCCCCATGTTTGGAAGTATTCAAGGCCAGGCTGATGGGGCTTTGAGCAACCTGGTCTGGTGGAAGATAATATCCCTGTTCATGGCAGAGGAGTTGGAATAGGTGATCTTCAGAGTCTCTTCTAACCCAGAGCATTCTGTGATCCTTTGATTCTATCTTATCGGTTTCATTTTAGATGATTCAGAGCTATGTAAATACACAATTGAAAACCCAGAAGAAAAGAGTTACACCGTGGAACATCTGATGTCAAGCACAAAGTACAAAGTATCGATTAAAGCATTTACAGGTGGAGGAGAGAGTCCCATTGCTAACTTTAGATACATAGATACACCATATAACTGTGAGTACTGGGTGCGGGTAATGTCTTGTATCAGAAGGATGGGATGATTTTGCATCTTTCTTTCTCAAGGGAAAAAAWTTAATTCAATGCAACATGCACTTAAGACAGGAATCCAGCTGAGAAATGATATGTGCGTAAACACCAACATGGTATTTTGACACTTTTACGTAATTTTTTTTTTTTTTTTTAATTTTAGAATGAGCCTTATTTACTTAAGTAAAGTAATTTTACTTAAAATTACTACCTAATTTTTAAGTCTTATATCCTTTTGTGAGATTGTACAATATATGCACATTTACATGCTTGGTGAGTCCTGCTTGTTAGAACTCGCAGAAGAAGTGTATTTGAATTTAACTAGTATTCTAATACAGGAAAACCTACAGACTTGAGTGCAAATAGGTAATTCCTGTATGGCCTTTTGAACTTCTAATGTTGATTCTTAATCTCATCAGTCTTWAAAACCATTGCCAAATCCACTCCTTCATAGGCCAATGCAGAAGGGTTGTTGGTACGGGCACAATAGTTTGCTAACTGGACAGATTTGATCACCAAAGCAGAAGAGGAAATCATTTGCCCACAACTCTGTTCCCTTGAAAATACCAGTCAGCAGCCATGATTGTGAAACTTGGGATCCAAATCTGAGATGCCTGGTTTAGAAAAACTTGTTGGGGTTGGAGGTGAAGGGGGAAAGATAGGAAAGGGGGAATCACTAATTTATGCAAGAAGACTCCGTGTTTTAGACTAACTGCCAGAGCAGTGTCTAAACCATCACGGTCCCCTCACAGGCCCAGTTCTGCCTCTAACACACAAATTCTGGCTCTCATCAGTCAGCCAGATGTTTGTGCAGCCATGCAGAGGATCAAGAAGGCTTAATTCCGAAAAAAGAYACAAGAGAATGTAACAAGTGTCCATTCCCTGCTCTGTGTGTGGTAGGAAGGCACAAACSCACTGGCCCGGGCAGGAGGGCACTGGACAGGGCAAGGGAGAGCAGGCTCCCAACCAGTGCTCCCCMTCAGCCCCCTAGAGCCTCAGCTGTTTGAGAGCAGCATAGCCCRACACTGTCTTTCAGCTAGAAGGAAATACTGAACTCCTTGTACTGGCATTTTTCCCAGGAGACTTGAACATTTGTTTCTCTTATTATGGTAAATCCATGATGGAACAACAGAGGTTGTTCACGTCTCACAGTAAAAATGTGTCTTTTTTKGGGGGTCTGAGAGAAAACTCAAACAACACTTAAGTGAGGTTACCATTGCCTTAACTTTTGGAAATTACAGCTGAGGGGCCAACTTGAGGGCAAATAATTGAGTAAAATTGAATTAAATTCTGATGTTCACTTCTGGTAAAGGAACTCAAAGTCCAAAGGCTCACAGATGTATTTCAGAACTTCCAGCCCAGCTACCTTGCRATAATGGACCATGCAGTTTTATTGCTGAGTTATGGCAAGCATCCTGTGCAGACTTGATGTTATTTTTCCCCAGAAACTCAAGCCATATTGACTTTGATGTGTGAGAATTTAAAAGCAATATTTTAAAATATTTTTCTTTCACAGCGAACATGCTGTACTTAATATTCCTGCTAGTGATAGTTCCAACCCTAGCTGCTGCTATATGCCACTGGAAGATGAAGTGGTAAGTAGTTATGCATGTTTCTGTTGTACACAGAGAACATAACTAACCTAATTCACAAACCACTGCTGCAGCTTGTTGCTTCCAGCCTGTGGTGAGGCTTCATTCGTTTTCTTCCTTTGGCTATCTGGGTGGATGTTTCAAGTACTTGGCTTGTGGCATTTCTGAAACACTGATCATCTGCTGCTGGGCTGTACACATCTATGTGTGGCTTCTGCTGGCAGAGTGTGCTTTGATAAGACAACAAAAATGTAATTTGTTTTGGTCTCTTATTTCCAGGGTGAAGGAGTGCTGCTGTCCTGTAATACCTAGTCCTAACAAGAGCAAAGTGCTGTCATTCAAAGAGTTTAAGGTAAGATCACTGAAAACACAGTTTTTATTTTGTCCATTCTTTGCTCAGTAGRCTTTTAAAAAAATACTGTTATTGTATTGATTAGATTTAAAAATTAGCTTCTTGTCAGTTTTTGTATTGACTACACTTGATCATTATAAAAAATTAATACAAGTTAATATTACTATGCGAGGCTGCTGTCGTTCACTGAACATTAAGATGAGAGCAAGGACTCAAGTGCACCTAACAGCCCCTGCTGCTGTATACTAGTGGCTTCTGGCTCAGACTAAAACCAGCACACATCAAAATCCTGSCAAAGTCTTTAGAGGGACATGGATACTTCTTCAAATATAGTCATTGTGAGYTTATTTAAAAAAGAAATCTCTAAATAAACAGTATTATAAATTTTGTGTAAAACACAGCTTCCACTGAACATGCTCTACATAGGTTTTCCTTCAAATTCATTCATTTGAAAAGTGCAAATTAAAAACTTGTAAGATAATATTAGAATTCMTTGAAGCCATCAATCCCTTTTCTCTACTCTGCGTTTCTTTCAATGGGCAATTTTTTTGTTTAATGAATCTCTGGCAGATTGGTTCTGAGAAAGTGCTGAAGATAAGTGACTGCACTCCTGATGTGCTAGCCACGGACAGTAAGGATGAAGCTCAGAAATTGCATCCCGTTACCTGGAGCCCATTATCTTCAACTCAAGATAAGACTGATAGTCACGATTCTTCCTGGACTTATTCTAGTGAAAATGTAGCGAGAGACTTTCCACCCACATCTGCACCTCAAACTCATACTTGTTTTGAAAATTTTGCTTATTTTTCTCCTCTTGAGGCTGAATCWGATCCCTACCAAATACCGGAGGCACTGGAAGCAAGCAAGGCAAATCTGTCAGTGATGCTGTACCAGCCACATTGTTATTTGGATATTTTTCATGAAGATGTAGTCTCAACCACCAGAGAAACAGCTGAGAGAAAGAACAGTCTGAGATACATCTCACAAACAGATGCGAGAAGCCTGGGGGGAAGGCTTTGATTTTCTGTCCTCCAGTGAGTCCATCCAGTGTTTGGGTTACACAACATAAAGGGAAATTTCTAAAACCACAACTACTTCTTTTGATTAGGGCTTTCACAAGTCCAACTGCCCCACTTCCATTAACACAGCAAAGCTGTTGTTTCTGGATGAGTTTTAAGTACTGACTTGAACAAAGGAATTATGTGAGCTGTGGTTCTGTTACAAGTTATGGGCATTATATAAGACTTACAGGCTGGTTTGTGGCCTGTATTAAGCACAGAKGCAGAGAATTGCTGTGTTTTGCAGAGATTAAAAATTTATTCATAAAGCAGAGGAGCAGTTTAAACGAAGCGGAAGGTTGTTGTGCATTTCTCATGCAGTGCACTCTGGCCACCCCACCCAGGGGCTACTGTGCTGCTGGGCGTGGAGCACTACTCAACCCACTCACATTGCAGGCTGGGTTGTATTTTCTCTCTCTCAAATGATGTAAGGAATCATGATGAAAGTGTTACCTCAACACAGTTAGGCACATTCCTASAAGATTGGAAGGAACTTTGATTTCTCTGGGAGTGCTGCCCACAGCACCCAAATCCGGTGATCWTCCTGCTTTTTCTTCACCTGTCTCCTAACTACAGTTGATGAGTGAAAGAGCACAGAAAACAGATTTTTATAGGGATGACCCTGCTTCCATTTCTCATAACTGGGGTTCCTCACACTTCAGCCCTCTGTGCCTGAAAGAACAACTATTTAAAATCATCTTAACTACAATTGAAGAGATGTAGGGAGTTAGGGGGAAAGAAGTTACTKTTCCTGAAGGACAGGTGTTTGCAGAAGTGGTACCATGGCACAGTCATGTGCTTGTGCTTGTGTACATGAACTGAACTTTTGGCATTAACCCCTGTACTACCACTGCAAGCCCTAATGAACCAACCAACCAGGCTGGTCAGAAGCACAGGTGCATGAATACCATTTGTGAAGAACATAATATTCAGACTGCATACCAGCTAAATCTCACAACACTACTTTTGCACGTATTTAAAAAAAAAACCCCAAAAAAACAACAAAAAAAGTTTACTGTAACACTCAGAATCCCTATACTAGGCAGCAATGCATTTGGCCTTTCATTTTGATTTCAGAAAGATGTACATTTGTAATTAAGCTGTATMCTTGGAATTGTAGCTGAAAGTCTCATCAGCTTTACCTTTTTAGTGCACACAAGGAACCATTTGGTTTTGCCTCCTTATGCTTGGAACCTGTCACAAATAGATGGTTTCAACTTAAGAGCACAGAGTAAGTGGTTCTCAAATGTGAAAATAAGAAAGGATGCCTGACAATATGATGTTCAGCTAGTTTGTGAAAACACAGTTACTTGCTTTCCTTGTGTTTAGGTAGCTAATCACACAGAGAAGTGAGTTCTGATACCGAACCACATCTAATTTTTATACTGTTACTTACAGATACTGTTGTAATCAACACAAGCTGTGTTGCAACAGGAAAACCAGTAAGGCCTTGCACAGCCTATGGGCTGAGACAAGCACTGGCTGCAGAGGGAGAAGTCTTGATTCAGGAGAAGGGGAGGTACAAAGATAGAGATGGACAGCTGTGGTTGGTTGGAGTTGTCCACCGTGCTGTGTCCATGTGTGTCCTGTGCATGAGTGCAGATGGTTCACAGACTGACTAGAGAAGGCTTTGTAGCACAGCAGCTTTAGCCTCCAGCCAGCAGCATAAGGAAACCTGGCTGGGCATTGTGCTGAAGGGCAGTTTGACAAGAGAACAGGGAGGGTAAGATAGAAGGCTGATGCTATTTGATGGCTACATCCTAGGGAAACTTCTTCCCTTTACTCTATCCTCTTATCTGAGTTACAGTGAATTWCAAAGCTTTACAGCTTGGAAGGCTTCCTTCTCCAAAGTGCTTCATCACTTATCATATGTATTTGCATGGCTTAGAAGTTTTACTGCTGTGAAAAAGGCCAGTAAAGAGCTGTTTTGTCATTACCAATACAAAACACCTGAGATTTGCATTTCAGAAAAAGGTCTATTTATTCTAAAACGTTGAAAATGTGTCCTAAATTAAGAGTTATGTAGCTCAGAATCCTGATATAGATGTCAAAGAAATCAGACTATTCCATGAGACATTTTAAATTTTGACAGTGCTGCAGTTCCTCATGCCAGACAGGACAGCTGCAACCAAGCACAACTCCCTGCTTTGAAAAAGCTGCTGTCACTGGCTTGGCTGCGATTCCGCCCAGGAAGTGAATGAAGGGGTGTGAAAGTGTGTGGGTTCAGCCAGTTGTCCCTTCCTCATGGTGGGGTGAGACACATGGGCCTCTCAGGCCCTTGGCTGTTCCCAGGGAGATTCTGCTCCGATGAAATGCCATTATCTGGATGTAGTGACACACTTGACCATGTTCCAGATTGCTGGGTGAGGGAAGGAGAAGCCAGCTTCTCTTTCCATGTAAACCCTTCTGCTTCCTCRGCCTAATCATAAAAGCATAGAAACAGAGTATTCCAGGAAGGATAATGCCTTTGTGCCAGTCAAAGGGCACAGTCCGGGCACCAGAACTGAGGATTAGAGAAGTATTCTGGCATGAGTAGGGAAGCGTGTATAATTTTTATATATTAAAACATCTGTCTTGCATTAATGRTTGAATGAGTTCAAACTGTAATCTTCTTTGTTTATAATTCAACTTTCACAGCTGTTGTTGAAATGCTAATACTTACACCATCATATAATAGAAAATTAGTCTCAGTATCAGTATGTTAAATTTTTAAAATAAAAATGGTATGTGAACTGTTGAAGAGTCTCCGGGTTTTTATCTTACAAAGCATTAGTGTAAAATATATTTTTGGCAAAAAAAAATTATTTAGGAAGCTTCTGATTGTTCTAGTTAACCATTTACTTACAAATATAAATCAAATTCCAACCCCTTTCTAGTGCTGGGAGGTATATATGAGACCAGAACAGCTCTACGAAGTTTAAGTACATTTTATTAACAACGCATCCCTTTGATAAGACTACACTTCAGGAGGCCTTTAATGCTCATTGACATGAACTGTACACAGTATACAAAAAAAAAAAAAAAAAAAAAAAAAAAAAAAAAAAAAAAAAAAAAAAAAAAAAAAAAAAAAAAAAAAAAAAAAAAAAAGAAAGAAAAAAAGAAAATACACGAAAAATCAAGGTGGGCAATACCATTTTGGGACAAGCCTCTGTTTAAATTATACACAGCTCAATGCAATATTCTTACGTAAAATATATAAATACTTTTTCTTTCTATGTTACAGGTATACAATATAAATCAGATTTCAATGTCTATTCAGTGACCTACAAACACTAGAACCCCCAAATACGTAGCAGCGTATTACTAAAAAAAAAAAAAAAAAAAAAAAAAAAAAGACCACACAGGACAGGGAGAATAAGTATTGAGATTTTTCTTGATCCCTTCCCACAGATCAGAATGATTAATTTAGATAATCTCTTGTAATGCAGTTTTAGGGATGCTGACAGCCCAGAATTGGAACAATTTTTCAATTAGATTTGCAAAGTGTAAAACCTTTTCCCCCTTTTGATATAGCATCTTGTGCTGAAACACCCTATTCTGTGGCAAAATAATGTGGTTACATTTTTTTGGCATAAATTACATTTTGCAAATAAAATAATGTGTTTTAAATAGCAACTCAAGCAAAATGTGAAATTTTTGCATGCTGTGGCATTGCTGTCCATCTATRCTACAAAAATAGCCCAAAGAAAATCCACATACTTGAATGAATATTGATTTGTTGAAAACAAAACTATCCAGGGAACCAGCATCTGGAGTTAAACAAAAACCAAAGAGACTGGAGACCTCTAGAGAAACACATACATGGTTTCTCGCATGACCTCAAAAGTCTTTTACAGTTCTAAGATATTGCTCTAACATCACATACCTTTCATAAGCACACAATGGTAGAAGTGTGACTTAAGAAAAAAAAAAAAAAAGCTGCTGGACCTGCTTTCCATTGGCTCCAGTGAAGTCAGTGTAACAGGACAGGGGGAGGTGAGCAGGACCTCAGAGATTCCACAGCCCAGTGGGAATTCTTCTGCTCCAACTGCACCCCCTGAACTCATTTCTCTCACAAGCTTTGCCAGCTTCCTGCAGCCCAAACAGCCAAATACCAAGACCCGGACGTGGACTGCAAAGCAACAACTCCTCCATTCCTCACTCGGTTTTGGTTATTGTCTRTTTTTGAACAGCTACCTTACTCTTCAGGCACCTTGTAAAGATACTTTGGTTGTGTTTTCAGTCTCACTGCAAACCACAACTGTTTCAAGACCACTGTGTATGTTTTGAAATAAAATGAGAAAAAGACAAGCAGGATTCTCAAGGTGCCTTATAAATGTTTATAAGGGTAGCTCACCTCGGTGTGCTGAGCCACTGCACCCAAAACTACAAAACTGTTTAGAATTCCACTTCAGGAAAAAACACCAACACTCTGCAAAGAGAGCACATTTAGGGTASGTTTGTCAGATGTCAGTCAAGTAAGAACTGTCAGATGAGGAAAAGCAACTGTTTCAAGCACAGCATGCCAGGGGCCCCACAAAYGAGTTAGGAACTTTAAAGCCTGCCCATTTCCAGCTCCAAGTGATGCCCACAACAGCTGGGAACATTCTGCATCTCTGAATTTCAGAGGTGAGAAATTCTCTCTCTTCAAAAGGGGATTCTCAGCACCCAGCCTTGTCCTCCTTCCCACCATGGAGAGGACCAGGCCCTCGTGGAGTGCYGGAGTGCCTGTCAGTCAGCTCTCTGCCCTTTGGAAAGGGCTCCCCTTCCCTCTGACTGTAGAAGCAAATGAAGAGAATCAGACAGATACAGTAGGCAAACACGATTGGTTCCACCAGTAGTGCCTCCCTCCCACAACGGTTTCCACCCCTGAGCTGTGTGAGAGCAAGTTGAAGAGTTTTCTCTGCCACAGCAACAAAACTGCATTTGTAGATAGTGTAAGTGAATGCTACACACATTATCATTTATTGAGCAGTATCCCCAATCASTCAGACTGGAAATATAAAAAGTGGGTGGTCTGTCAGCTTCCCTAGGAGAGGTGGAAGAGATTTTTTATTAGGGCTAGTATAAGCACAATCATTATTTACTACAGCTTTCTTTCGAAGTTTTATCATGATACAAATAAAACCCCAAAGTAAGACCTTTGAAAGGGACATTTGAATAAAAGGAAAACTATAGAATTAAAAATTCACAGTTTATAACTAAGCCAATATAAATTTCCTTCAAAAACAGTATCCCCTTCATTTGCCAATTAAAGTGAAACATCATTGTGAGCTTAATGTCAGTGTGTAAATTAATTTTATAGAAATGTATGTTATGTACAATACAGACTTTACATCCTTGATGCATACTTGTTGAAATCTACTGACACTCATACACTTTCAGAAGAAAAATCACGCTTTATATCTGAATTTGCAGCCATAATTTTTTATGTCAAGTTTCTGTTGTCATGGATCCCCACACAAGCAAGTAAGTCAGAACACATGAGCATTTCAGAATGGAGATTCTTTCAAAAGTATATTTGCTTACCTTTTTTAAAATCAGAGGCCTTCTTATGATGCTTTCTACATTAAGTGCTATGGGTTAAACTTAACAAATGAACAGAGGTGGGTTTTTTTAAATACAGGTGATAAAACTTGTTTATTTCGCCTTAACTGCAGAAAAATAACATGGAGTTGTTTGATGTAACCCCATTTAGTTATTAAAACAAATCTCTTCTACTCTAGCCTAACTGAGGTAGTGTTTGAAACTACTGTATAACATACGCTATCCCCATTTGTGGGAAAACTACATTATTTTCCTTTGGAGTTTATACCACTATTTGGTCTACTGTGATTGACATTTTGGTTTTACAGAAGCATTTATTTCTTATGACCAGAAGTCCAATAGTTACTGGTGTGGTGTGTTTTCTAAACATTTCAAACGTGTCTTGCCACATAGATGTATTATTTGTGTCAACAACCATAGAGGAGTTCAATCAGGTTTTTTGCTCCTTCTTTCAGTGGGAACTCATGAAAAGATAATCTCAGGAACTAAATTTGACTATGAGCAGCAACTTACAATCTGCTTTACCGGAACCTGATGGTATGCAGTGCATATAAGAATTCAGTGAAGTGATAGCTGCAAAGCAGTGCTTATGTGGCATGATGAAATTTCCAAGAAGAAAAAAATTCTACGTTTCACTAGGAATTGTGTGTTACTGTTCACAGGACTACTTATTAAAATCTCCAGTAGCATAGCTAGTAAGAACAGAGTTATGAGCATCAGGATAAATTTCACTTAAGTATTAATCTGACAGTTATAAAAAATGGTAGAAGTGAATGGATAAAAATACGTTCTACTTAGTACAGTCCAGCTGAATTATTCACCTATATCAAAATCAAAGGGTAATCCCTTCTATTACAGGCATTCTAACAAAGGTGGCCATGCTACTGTATATACACATTTGCATATATTTATACTACCTTTATATAAAGGCTTCTGAATCTTTAGATCCATGATAAAAGTGACAGGGATTCCTACTTTTTAATTTTTATCTTGCACTTCCTAGTTTAGAAACCGCACTAGTAACATGATAGAAGCAATTATTTCAATCATTACCAGTCACTGTATCATTTAACTTTTGCAACAAGTCTTAAATACCAGTACAAAATCATAAGTAGGCTGCTCCAAAATTTGTTGCTTAAGGCTTTTCACTACAATTATTAGTACTATCTGATGCTTGATCACTAATCCACTGAAAATTCAAATAAACATTTGTTTTTATAAAAAGCTGTTTCTATGGAACTTGGAAAACACTCATACTTATGTCTCCTCACAAAACCTGCAATGATTAAATGTCTTCAAGTTCAGTCTATACAATATTTGCTTATCTGATACAAATCATGCTTTGTAAAGGATTGTAGCTGAGTAAAGACCCACATTTGTATTACATGAGCATGAGTGTAGAAATTGCAAACACATGCATAGTATTCAGGGAAAACAATCTGATTTCAGCATTTTAGTTTTAAATGATTTGGTTTCTGAAAAGCAAATTGTAGTGAAAATCCTTAACAGGTTCAGATAAGATACATATATGTAAATGCAATGAAATTGAAGAGACTGCTAACAAAATGTCTTACAACTATAGCAATAACTTAATGAAACCTCAGATTCAGAGGCAACTCTTTCTGTCTGAAGTTAAAAATCCCCAAAGTAGTGTTATAAACAGTACAAAAATCAACAGAGAAGGGCTAACATTAATCCCCTGGTGCCCACAACTACAGCATGGCTCCCCATTGCTGGCAGTGGAATGCACCCCCATCTCTCTGATTCCTGGTATCCAGGGTTTAAAAAGCAAGGCATCATTCTGCTTCTCTGGAACAGAATTGGAAGTCAATTAAAAATGTCTCTGCAAGTTGTCCTATTTCATTGTAATTTATGGTAGAAAATGAAATGAAAACTCGTGGAGGTGTTCAGTGCTTGGCTCTTGCATATACTGGTAATTACTATTATTAAAACTACGGTAAAGTCTAATAAATCCCCAAAGGGCTCAAATGACTGTGCCAGTAATTGGTTGAGGAAGAAAATGTTTTCAGTTCAGTCTTCAGGTACCAGTAGCTTCTGGAAGATTTTGAAGATGATGTTCCAAGCTTTTTATCCAGTCAGTGGGAGGTTGTCTGAGCATTTTAAAGTCTGTATGCAAAGCACGGCCTGAGCAGAGGTCAGGACTCAGCTGATGCATCGATTACAGGCTGTTTTGTTGGGGTTGCTAAAATAGC